TTTGTAAGTTCTGTATTCTTGGAAAATAGACTAGAGTCAGTTTTATGACTGGAAAGCACAAAACTGAATGAGTTCTTGATTATGTGCATTCTGATGTATGGGGCCCTACTAGGGAGTTGTTATTGGGATGATCTCAGTATTTCGTTACCTTTATTGATGATTTCTCCAGGAAATTTTGGGTGTATTTCTTGAAGCAGAAATCTAAACTCTTCTCTAAATTTAAGTTGTGGAAAGCTGAGGTGGAGAACCAAACTGGCAGAAAGATTAAGTATTCGAGGTCCGATAATGGTACAGAGTACACAGATTCTCAGTTTCAGAAGTTCTATGAGGAGCATGAGATTCAGAGGCATTTTTCAGTGCGAAAGACACCACAGCATAATGGTGTGACAGAAAGGCTGAATATGTCCTTAACTAAAAGGGCAAGATGCTTGAGACTGAATGCAGGGCTTTCTAAGATTTTCTGGGCAGAGGCTGTGAATATGACATGCTATCTTATCAATAGATCACCTCGAGCATCATTGGGTGACAAGTAATCCAGTTAAATTTGATCATTTACGAATTTTTGGATGTCCTGCTTATGTGCATGTACCTGGAGATGAAAGATCCAAACTTGATGCAAAATCCAAGAATTGCATCTTTCTGGACTACAAGAAAGGTGTGAAAGGATACAAGTTTTGGGATCCAATTGCAAAGAAGATGGTGATCAGCAGAGATGCAATTTTTGATGAGCAGTTTATGTTACAACAAAATCAAGATAAGGTGTCAGGGAACAGTTCCAGTTCAGATGCACTGCAGATGGATTTAGAACAACAACCAATAGCTTCTGAGAGAGGTGGAAGTTCAAATCCAACACCTGGTGATTCTATTCCATATGGTCTGCAGAATTATAATCGAGTCAGAGATAGACAGAGACGCACCAATGTAAGGCCTCCTAGCAGATTGGGTTATGAAGTCTTAGTCTCATGTGCACTTCTCATCAGCAGCGATGATCCAACCACTTTTCAAACAGCTATCACTAGCCAGGAGAAAAAAAAATGGATGGGTGCAATGGTTGAGGAGATGGAGGCTATTGGGTGCTAATGAGTATACAAAAGGAAACCAGCAGTATCAGAAAAATAAGGGGAAAACTTCAAGGCTCGACTAGTTGCAAAGGGATTTTCACAGCAGAAGGGGATAAATTATGATGAAATATTTTCTCCTATGGTCATACATACCTCAATCAGGGCAGTGCTTGCATTAGTAGCTATTTAGGATTTGCATTTGGAGCAGATGGATGTTAAAGCTGCTTTCTTACATGGTGATCTAGAGGAGCAGATTTACATGGAGCAGCCAGAAGGGTTCACTCAACTTGGACAGGAGTATATGGTTTGCAGGTTAAAGAAATCGCTGTATGGGTTGAAACAGTCTCCAAGACAATGGTACAAGGGGTTTGACTCCTACATGATGCAGATTGGCTGCAGGCGATGTGAGTATGATTGTTGTGTTTATGTGAAGGGCCTTGATGATGGTTATATTATTTTTCTGTTATTGTATGTTGATGATATACTGATTGCTGCAAAGAATATGAATGATGTCCGTGGTTTGAAAACTTTATTGAGTCAGGAAGTTGACATGAAAGACTTGGGTTCTACGAAGAAGATTTTTGGAATGGAGATTCATCGAGATGAGGCTCAAGGAGATTATGTCTATCTCAACAATACTATGTTGAGAAAGTGCTGGAAAGGTTTGAGATGATCAATGTAAAGCCTGTGAGCACTCCTTTGGCAAATCATTTTAAGCTTTCTTCAGAATAGTATCCTAAGACTGATACAAAAATTGAAGACATGACAAAGGTTCCATATGCCAGTGCAGTTGGCTGCTTAATGTATGTTATGGTATGAACTCATCCTGATTTGGCTCATGCTGTTATTCAAGTCTGCAAATACATGGCTAAACCTGGAAAACGACATTGAGAAGCAGTCAAGTGGATTTTCAGGTATCTGAAGGGTACTGTAGGACATGAAATTATTTTTGGCAGTCAGAAGAATGATCCTTCAGTTGCGGGGTACGTTGATTCAGACTACCCAGGTGATTTGGATGACAGAAGGTCTACAACTGGGTATGTGTTTACTCTTAGTGGAGGACCTATATGTTGGAAATCAACAATTTAGTCTATTGTGGCATTATCTACAACTGAAGCTGAGTACATAACAGTACTTGAAGCTGCTAAAGAAGCCTTATGGCTTGCTGGGCTAGTAAAGGAACTGGGCATTGAGCAAGGTGGAGTTCAGTTGCATTGTGACAGTCAGAGTGCTATTTATCTGGCTAAGAACCAGGTGTACCATTCCAGAACGAAGCACATTGATGTCAGGTATCACAAGATCAGAGAGTTGATTGCTTCTG